AACAGTACTTTACAGATTCTATTATATAGAGAAGGTAGTTCTGTTAACCTTAGTGATCACACAGAACAGATTAATCAAATCAACGAGGCCTGTAATGATTATGCAGATAAAGACCTGTACAATTTCGATGAAACAGGTCTCTTTTATAAAATGCCACCCTCAATAGATCTTTTTCTTCACCAAACAAATGGTCAAAAAGGAGAAAAAATACCCCTGAAATATGGCTTTTGTGTTAACTAAACCAGAAATGATAAGTATAAGCCACTTATTATTGAGCATGCTCGTCAACCTCGATGCTTTAGGAAAAGAAGTATGAAAAGCTTAGTCTATGACTATTGCTTCAACAAAAAAGCATGGATGACTAGAACGATATGGCTTAAATGGCTGAAAAGGTTTGATGAAGATATGAAATGACAAAAGAGCCAAATAATTCTTGTAGTTGACAACTGCTCTGCTCATATTAAACCAATTGACTATACTCTTAAGTGTATTTGTTTGGAATTTCTTCCTCCCAATACCATCTCTCAACTTCAACCACTTGATTCTGGAATTATTCAAACCTTTAAAGCATATTACCATCAGGGTTTCCTTTGACTAGCAATTTTATACGATGAGGAAAATACACCAAATTCATTCAAGATCTCACTGTTGAAAGCGATAGAACTTGGAAAAGAAGCCTGGTCTAAGGTTACTGTTACACCAATCTCAAACTGCTGGAAGTATGTTAGTTTTAAGGGAAATTTTGGACCTGGATTACCAGTTCAGCGAACCAGCGATCCTATTCTAACTTTTAGCCCTGTAGCAGAATACTGAGCACATGCAGAGCAAAGAATTCAAAGTCCTGACCAATTTTTTCTCTCCCATACCACATATGATGAAGTCAGTTGATCTTCTCCCCTTGCTCCTTTTAAATTATAGGAATATAAAGAATTTAATTACTTATTATTTCAACTTTATTTAGGTTACTGAGTTGGTTGTATCTATTGAAAGAAACTTTCAACGGCTTCATATCCATGATCTCATGGCTGTTAAAGCTTTTCTAAACCCAGTATCTGAGGTGATAGTTGCTGGAGAGCTTACAGATAAAGAAATCATTGGTATAATTGATCATGCTAAAGAGCAGGAAAAAGAGACTAGTCGAAGCACCCATAGAGATACTACCAGTGATCTGGCAGAGCTGCCTGAGAGCAATCACTCACCTTCAACTGCAGAGGCCTTGAATGCTACCCGTAGCTTGATTAACAAGCTATTAATTGATTCTAACATTCTGAACATAGGAATTAATGTGCTTCAGTCTCTAAGAGAGTTAGAAAAGGTTTGGAGGATTCAGAAGCTCCAAGAGTCCACGGTCCAGCAATGTATTTTGTCATACTTTACCTCAGCAGAAAATTTGTCTTTCTCTAGTTAGATGCCTGTGGGGTTAGGCAATATGTTGGAAAGGGGGATAAGTGGCTACTTGGTATTCTTGGGGTAAAGTGAAAACCAAATTGATATGTTCAGGGGAATGGGGTTTTTTCTACTTTATAAATTGAAAAGCATACTGTGTGTGCCATCATAAATTATTACTTGTTTAGATTTGATTTAGCACCCTCTTTCTGCCAAGCCTATTTGCTATTTTCCATCCCCCCTTTACTTCTGGGAGATTCGGTCTCCCAGGGACCTGGAGATAACTGAGGTTTCACTGTAGTACAAAATACAGTACCTGTATGCAACATGCCAAAACTTGAACCTTTTTCTTCTCAACCGTCTTTCTTTCGACCCTGCTCTTTTTTCCGATCATCACAAGTACAAGTACTAGTACAGTATTCCCCTCTCCTTTCTTAGGACTGTTCCCGCTCGCAGCCATGGCATCCCCGCCCGTTGCCGCTTCCAGTTCGGGCAAAGATTGGTCGGGTGGAGTACTTGAGTAGTTATTCCGAGGTTTAAGCCATGATACCGTACAGTACATACATGGCTGCACAGTACAGCACCATACCTCTGTGGAATACGAGTGCGAGGAGGCAAATATGCTGATTCCGCGACGAGCTGGACTGGACTGGACTGGGTTGGTTGGTGGGTGTGGTAATGTTATGGGGTGGATGTGGAGAGTACTCGTAATGCCGCTGGGTAAAATTGCTTGGACAAAACGTTGGAGACAGGAATGGAACAGGATGACCACGCAAGGAAAGGATAGGAAGGATAGGAAGACCCTTGATAGCTGTTCTGGTAAGCGAGACGGACTGGCTTTAGACTATTATCGGTACAGTACGGGTAAAGGGAAGGACCTGGAGGAAGGGAAAGGCTTGTTTTTCCGCCCTCACTAACTAACTGTAGTCTGGATAGTATCATAGAGTGCTGTATGATACCCGCAAGCTGGGTTGGGTCGGGATTGCTTCACGCAAATCCCCCCGTCGTACATAGTACCGGTAAGCGGGCAGGACTAACAAACGGATAAACACCTTGGCAGGTTTGTGACACCCTCCAGATCCAGATATCCCATCGATAAGCAGGTCCCTCCATCCCCAGGACAATGAGGTGCTCTACTGTACCGGGTTCCGGTAGGATGGGATAAACACCTTGCGTACTATACGAGTACAAGCACCAGCACTATACTATAGTCAACAGTACCGTAGCCAAGTTCCCAAGTGAATCAATTTCACCGTGAAATCGCGTCACGCACCCTTGTGACCAGCGTCTCCCTAGGCGTCTACGAATCTCATGATATATACCCGGTGGCTAGCACTTAGTATTCACCACCAACAATTCATCCCCTACTCCCCTCCAAACCTCCCTACCGTAGCCCACTCACCACCTACCCATCCACATCTCATCCTTCTTCTCCACGAGCTGTCAGAGGGAAGAGAGGGAAGAAAGGAAAGACAATGTGGGGTTGGGAAAAATGACTGGCCAAATCCCACCCTTCCTTCTCGTGGACATCCTCCGAAACCTCGACATGAAGGATCTGCTGAGAACGCAATCCGTGTCAAAGACTTTCCACGAAGAACTCACCACCCGAGCACCCCTGCGGAGGATCCTCTTCACCCTGCCGCCCTGCCCTTCCCCTGCCGCAGGGGTGCCACTGAAAACAACTTACGACTTACACCCGATATTCCGGCTGGTAGAGTACATACCCGGCATCATTCCCCTCCGCCAAAGGGTCATTCTGAGGGGCTCGGAGAGGCAGATAACCCGGTACCCGGCATGTCTAGCTTTTGCGTGCTCGCCCGCGTGCACGAAGATTGAGATAGAGCTGCGCGGCCTGGCACTCGTGGTTGAGGATCCAGAGGGCGTGAATGTGTTTGGGGTTTTGCGCGGGTTGGAGGCGTTGTCAGTCTCTCCCCTTCTCCGGCGCGGGGTTTGTGTGTGCGTGCGGCGGGGCTAACGTGAATGGTGTACCATAGGATGAAGGGAAGACACATGAGCGGGAGGTCACGTTGGGATTATACACAATTCCCGTATATCCCCTCACCCCTCCATATGGGGCCCGTCTAACAGTTATAGCTTCGCTGGCTTCCGCACATCCCCAACGCCGGGCACCACCCCCCCAAGACTGGTACCGGAATTCCACAATCTGCCGGAAATCACTCGCCAGCTATCGTACAGGAATACAGCTACGTCTTCTTTAATAACCCTTTGAGGACTGGATACCACCCCCCGCATCCCTTTCCCCCCACACCATCCAGCGCTTGAGTAACTCTTCCGGAGGATGACCTATTTAGGCAAAAGTCGAGTGACGGTTCGTGATTCATTTACGAACATTGATCACGTGGTCTCGCGCAAGAAAGTGTGTAGGCGTGTTGGGTTCAACCTTGATTAGTTTTTGTTTCTACCCGGGTGAAAAGGGGAGCTTTTGGCCGGCCCGAAAGAAGTCTGGTGCTAGGTGGAGTATGGTAGAGTACCAACAGATAGATTACCCTATATGAAAGGACGGAAGAGAGGGATATGTAAACCATGGCCATCGCACAGCCTGGGGGGGGGCAAGTTTTTTTCTGTTTTAGTTTTTGCGCACTTTATATCCGCACCGCCGTCTCACCCTAGACTACCTGGAGCGACTTATTCGTTACTTATTGTCCGCCCCTCCGCCCGTCCGAAGTGATGCCATACTTTTTCGTTAGAATAAAGGATTTTTATACAAGTCAGGTTGAATTTACATTACGCCCCGGCCTGGCTATGCGCTAGCATCGGGGAAACGTACTATAGTTCCCCATGCCTGCTTGCAGTTGGGATGCTTCAACAATTCGGGGGGTGGGGGGGTGTTTGGTTGTGCAGCGTGCGGGGATGGGTAGTGAGTGGGCTGGGGAGGTTGGTTGGGTGGGGGCACTTGAATAAGGTTATCGGGCGCGAAGGATATGAGGAGGTATACATACTTGAGTATACAGTAGTATGATATTGGAGTTTGGGTGAGGTGAGGGGGGAGGAGGATGTGATTGTTCATGCACGAGAGTGCGAGTGAAGTGTTATGTGTTTTTTTTTTCCCTTTCTCCTTCTCCCTCTTTTTATTATTATTATACAATCGTGTTCTTTTAATTTATTTTTATTTTTATTGTTTTCAACTCTTTTTTTTTCTTTCTCTTTCTCCCTCTTTTGAGATTTCACATTGGTTTTTGGCCGTACGTTATGAAACTGCGTTGGTCAGTGCATGCAAGCTCGAGAATATTGACGGACCAAAGGGGAAGGAGGGGAAGCTCACAATCTGGTGTATGCGCAGATCGCAGGGTCCTTCAGTGCCTCCCGCACGCTAGCAACAAACACGTCCACTTCCTTCTTGTCCCACCCGAGCACGCGAGTAAACATCGCCAGCGTCAGGCCCTCCGCTCCAGTAATCAGCATCTCCTTTTGGAATGTACCTAGCGCATTATTATACCCACCATCAGCTAAATGCGATTCGGTAAGTCAGTACAGGAAGGGGAAATCATACCCATCTCCCTCATCCTGTCGCCCTGATCTCCCGCCCATGTTCTGCCCTCATTAGTCGTCCATACACCATGACCGTTGCACACTACAATGGGGCAGGCACAAGTTTACCCAGGGACGTACCCAAGCGGAACTTTGTGAATCTGCTCGGTGACCGCCTTGAACCCAGCCTTCTCAAGACTGGGTCTAAATTCAGCTGCTGCAGTGCCCCAATTTATCCCCGCTATAATGGTAGCCTTTTCGAAGTTGTCCACCCAGGTGCGCAACACATTGTCAGGTTTCAGGGTTCCATTGTCGCATTCGAACGGACGAAAATTGTCCTTGAGCTCTATCCAGCCACCTGGCTTCAGTGTTCTTCCCCAAATTAATAAATTAGTAAATGCAGTGTTTACTGTTAGTGATAGGGCAGCACGGTACCGGTAAGCCTGGACATATATCCTGTCCCAATCACGCACCGACCCAACCAAGTTTCGAATGTGAATAAAGTCAAAGTGATTGTCGGGAAAGGGCCAATCCTCTTCGCAATCATCTATCTCGAAGCGGAGGTTGGGAGGAACATAGCTGGGTTGGATGGGCGAGAGGTCGTTTCCGATGATTTGGGCAGAAGATATCTGGCTATTATTCTATCCATCAACAACCATAATCCTCTCACACGCAAGCAAACAAACAAACAAGTAAGCATGGAGCACAATGGCGTAATACTCAGCGATGTCAATTGCCCAGATGCCTGAAAATTAGCAACGTTCACCCCCCACCCTTTCAATGTGTCACACGCGGGAAGATCTCACCAGTACCCGTCCCAACGTCCAATATCTGAGTTGTTGGTTAATAGTTCTGACATATGGAAACGAGACAGGCGCACGCACCCTCTCAACTTCACTCTCAACTATCGGAACGGAGTATAATCTTCCACCCAGAACCAATCTCCAGAGGTGGTGCATTAGGTCTAATCGCTCTTGTTCTAGCTACGACCCATAAGCTGAGTCCTTCAACAGAGGAATTCACTATCAAACGCCTACCTCGTCATTAGGGAATACCTACCCCATCATTAGCATTAGATTCTCCAATTGTTCGTAATTAGTTACTAACATAGCTCCCCTGACGATATGAATGGTACCGTCGACCATTCTCATACACATAATCCGTTATTGAATCTGAAAGGGACATTGTGGAGAGATTGTCATCATACTCCTCCTGGGATGAAGGTCTAACCCTAGTTAGTTTGCTCGCTTTTGGGCTAGCCCTGAAGATGGGAAATGCAAACTCTTCATCCGGAGAATATTCTACTTCCTCCTCCTCTTCGGAATAACTGTATCTACTCATGTTGTGAGATTTTTGTGTCAGTAAATCTCATGGGGGTCTAAGGGAGGTAAATAGGTTGAAAAAATGAAGGAAGAAAAAAAAGAACCACTACTAGATGCACAAACTTACCCTTCGTCTTCGTGCATGGGGGATAGTATTTATTATCTATTTTCCTTCCTCCCTTCCTAGTTTCTGGTATTCTTGTTTGTCCCTCAATGTTGTCGCAGGAGAGAGCGTGGGTTTGTATTCGACGGTTGTGTTTGTAGCAGGGTGTATGGGATCTCTCGATTCCTAGCAAGAAAATGGGGAGAAGGGAAGGAAAAAAATCTTATACCCACTGTCTTGCACTTCAGTATTACAGGCAGCAAGATAGAAAAGAAGAAAAAAAGGCCGATCAGAGAGTTTAGAATTCCAGAAAAGCATCTATTAATTGTTACCGAAGGGGCGGGACAGGTGGTGCCTTATATCAACCGTGCAACCGCCAGAACTTCCTTTCCCAACCCGCCGATGAGGATCCCGTTCCGTCAACTTCCCTCCCCTCGCTAAACTACACTCCACTCACCCGACTCGGTGGAGTTCGATAATCTGTCGTATAATTCGAACTGCCGAATCGAATTGAAATCGTCAAGCCAACACCCCCTGCCCCCACAGAAATTCCCCAGTGAACAATTCGAGTGCAGAACCCAATTGCGCAATCCCTCTCTTCTTCCGCTCCTGTTGAACGCCCCTTTTGTCGGTGAGAGGTAGACCAAAGCACCACCACCTACCACACATACCGTACTCTCGCACTCGCACTCACTCACCCTTCACACTCCCCTCCCTCCTCCACCTTGGACTAGGAAAGGGAAGGGGAGGGGAGGGAAGGGAAAGGGACTACCGTACATCCAACATACCCACTCACCCACCCAAGTACCTATACTACATGCACACATACAGTATATCACATCACACAAGGGTTTCTGAAGGTGGGTTAGAGGAACTTGGTAATGTATCGGGTAAGTTGAACAGTCCCATTCGAGACTGGTCCTTTTTTAAGGAATCGCTTTTTTCCAACCCCTTGGTTGGGAAATCTGGCAAGCCATTCCTCACCCCACTCCAGAATACACTTTTAACCGTGCCTTCGGTATTGATGCCACCCCTCCCACGAGCGCTGCCGGTCTTGTATTATTCGATGAACATATTCCCATCCCCCCTTAGCTCGTGAATTCGGTCAATCAATCCGTGGGGAAAAAGCAATCATGCATGCAGATCGACTGCTTGCAACACGGTAACGGTAAAAGAGATGTGCTGGCTGGGTATCGAATTTGCGCAGTAAGATGGGGAAGAATAGCGGTAATCGCCGGAATTCTTGTCTCGGAAAAATATACTGGGACAAATTCCCATAATTACACTTTCGTGGCACAGTACCGGTACCGCACCGTACTTGTATAATTGGTACCGGTAACAGTTTGATCGGTCCCGACCCGAGTTAGCGTCTGTAGAGGGATAGAATCCTCCGAGAGAATATGCGCACGCTTCTTTTTTGGCTCTCTACTTGCACAGTCCATCTATCCTATCCTATTTATTAGCCTCCCTCTTTTTTTTTCTTTTCCTTTCGAAAATATGGGGGGGTAATATGATAGCGGATATACCCAAATTATTGTAAACTGCTTGCCCCCCCGTAATTCATTGCTTCCCCTCTAGCCATTCTTAGATACAACCACATATATAGTGGAGTAGCCTATCCAAAAAGTGCGCAGTACAGGTAGCAGGCATGGAGTACTCGCAGCTCGTACCCGAACACAGGGATGAAAGATTTGAATGGCAAATTACTTGTGAGCATCTGAGCGCCCACGCTGCACTCAGACTCGAATGTTCGGGTAGGGTATTTCACACCGGATACTTGTACTGTGCTCGAGTACGGTACTGTACGAGTACTTGTAGCCCTGCGACCCCCAATATCCAGCCTCCATCACCCCACGTCTCGGACCTAACCAAATGCGGCATCGGCGGCCATGGCGCTCTTAACGTCGCTCCAGTTGTATTGTGTATGCTATCCACGAGCAAGCCTAGATAAATAAAACCCTCAGAATGGTCCGCTGCTATTAATATAATACCCACAGGAAAGAAAAAAAAAAAAAAAAAAGGCTGTTCGTTCATTCCACCACTCAGTATTTGGTCCAGAGGAAAAAACAAAAAGCCCCCTTACACCCCGGATCTCTACGTTCACACCGGCATTTCAGACATGCATCATAATTAATCACTCGGCATCATGTACCTACCAATCGTACCTGAACGCTTGAACCGCTTTGGTTTTTCTGGTAAACCAATAGCCGCTCACTCAATCTGCTCCTCACCACCGTGGAACCTCACCCGTCCTATAAGGCCAAAGTCTAAGGATTAGAGCCGTAGCTAGTCCCTTCCCATGTAGTTAATGGCAACTCTTCCCATCCCTGTTGTGGTACTGCCTCTCTCGAATCATGGTTTGATGTGCGAAAACTACTCCTCGGTTGATGAACTGTTTGCTGCCGAACCCAACCCAGAAACGCGCTCAAGCATAGCATCGGACCTTGCTCACCGCAGCATCCCTCAGATAATCCTAGCAGTAGTCAACACCTTTGCGGCATGCCAACACACCACCTCTGTGTTTTTGCCCATTTTACGTTTGAATTGTGCAGTGAATCTCGTGTGAGTCGGAACCCCACTAATCGCACACGGCCCACACTCACTCCCTGCCGCCAGTGACCCCAGTCCCACTGTGCAGAAGCCGTAATCCCAAGGCAATCAGAAACTAATGCATGGCGTTCCCATGACATATCTTCCCGATCGGGATCCCTTTGCAGTTGACGATCAAGAGAAAAAGTCGGTCGCGGGAGAGAGAAGAGAGAGATAGGGAAATAAGAAAATAAAAATAAAAATAAAAAACAATAAAAAACGAGTAAAATAAAAGAAATACCCTCACATCCTCCCAGCCACCCTGCTCGAAGGCGTTCCGAATTTATTGCATACATGATGCGGTTGGTAATCGCTCCGAACATTCTTGATATATTGCCGTTACTTCTTTTGGCTGCTCTTACCCTCTGCATTGGCCAAGGGATATCCGAAGACGTGGCCGGGGGAGCTGCCGAACAAGGTCATACCTGGCACCTGGGACTCCAAGGAGGGCGCCCTACTCCAAGAGCCGTATCTTTGGAAATCCCAGGGTGCTCTCGGGAGCCATCATTGACAAGGGGTGTTATGGTCAGACATCTCACCGCAGTGTATCGCAATCTGGGGGTGTTTGCAACATGTCCATAATGTATTTGTGGCACTTGTATTAGCTTGTGATAGACAGCCCGGATAACATTATGTAAAACCACGCCATTGTCAATCAATTTATCGCCTGCCGGCAGACTTCGTGCAGTAAGAATTTGCTCGTACGTTGCGCGCTTCCGACGGAGTTACTGCCTGCATCCCAAATGGTCAGGGCCAGACTCCCCAATCTCCCCTTGGCTGTGAGATCTCGGCTGCCTGCAAAATCATATTAGCTAGTGAATAGCGTACTGAAATCCCCCTCTAACCTGCATCATTCAAAACCACTACCGTACACTAGTACCGGTGTTTTCCACCCGTTGCGTGTCCCCATTCCTCCCTAAACCTTCAGTTCCCCCCCCTCCCCCCAGCATAGTTTAGTGCATGAGTGGACGAACCGTCTATTTCAAGTGTCTCGGCCAATAGCCGAGCTGTGATTTTGATTCCCCCGCACGGGAGTGCCCCAACGGGCAGGAATGGAGTGCGCCCCGCCCCACGGGATAAGTAGCATAGTCAGGTTCGAGATGCCAAGGAAGCCTCTCTGCCGTACATAAGGCTCTAATTGGGACTGATAATGTAGGCGTCGGTTGTCTGACAATAAGTTAGTAATATTAATGATTCTGACTGTTTGGCAATCTCGAAATTTCGAACCGATTTATCCTGGATGAAGGAAAGTTGGCATGATCAATCGGCCCCGGACCCCAACCGGATTTGTTAGCGCAGGCTGCAGTGGGGAGTTACCAGTACTATTGTTTGAGGGTGGGCAATCGAGACAGTTTAACGTGGCTGGCATGCCCAATTTCTTGGGGAGAATCTAAGACACGGAACTTGTTTCCCAAATATGGGTTTGTACTCCTACATGTCCAAACACTGCATTGCAGGCACATGTAGCTTTCCCGGTGCCCCGGTTTAATGCCGGCACTCGGATGTGGAAGGAGAGCCATTGAGCTCATGTGCTACAGTATCGTGTATTTACTCGGGCACATGCACTTCCCTTCCGTTTGCTGTAGATTGTGGAAATTACAGTATCTTCGCACCGCTGCTGGCGCCAATGGTTCCGAGATCTTGTGATATTTTCTGAAGAGTGCGGATAGTACCCCTTGAGTAGTATCTTAATGCTGGCTCTCGTTTCAACTTCACCTGAAGTAATTGGCGTAGAAAACTCGGGAGGTCTAGGACCACATGTGTCTGTCCACCTTGAAGAAAAGGTTGGTGAACCCGAGAATCTTTTAAACTTTTTGAGTCCCAGTTATGTGTAGTGCCAAGTCAGCCTCCGATGAGCTGGATGCGGGTATTACCCTGCAACCGGGCAGAATTTCCTGCCTAATACCGGTAAGTAGGCTCGCTCTCACATCCACTCGGAAGCACGTACATGTGCTTGTATCATACTTCGTGCCCCCGGGTGGGGGTGGTATTGCGGGGAAGCTGATAGCGAATCGCCAAGGCACCCTTGGCTCCTAACCTAAGGGCTCTGTGAGCTTATCATAGCTGTCTGCTTGCGAGGTGCAGTCAGGTAGCTGTATGGAAGTTAACTTATATGATTTGATATGCTTGGATTCATAAGATCCTGAAAGAGAAGCTCCCTCGAGTCTGTTCTTTAACTACAGATAAGCTTTTGCATACTCAAAATTTCCTGTAAGCTAGAAATTGGAATTACCATTAGTAGTCACTCGACACTTTTATGGCCCGGTCCAGTCACAACGCGCTTCCAGCCAGTAAAAGTCTGCATTAGGTAGCCCTGTGCCCAGTGATGGCTCGCTTGTGCCCCAAGCGCGGTACCAACTCCGGCAGATGACCTCAGTGGACTTTATGGAGAGTGGGGTGTGGAGGTTTCAAAGCCCGAAAACGTAGTCAGTGAACTACCGTAGAATGGGTTGATTCAGTTGGGCAGCACCGATACCGTGGGTTTCGAAACAGCGCTGTGTTGCCGGGAGGGAGTGCTTGTATCATACGAGTAAAAAAGAAGCACCACTGAAAAAAACAATGCTTGTCTGACAGCACGGATGCCGAACGGCTGCCAAACACTATTGCCCTAGTTTAACGTGGGAGTGTACTCGTAGTGGAAGTAGTGGGTTGGTGATGGGAAAATTCTGTCATAGCTATTCATCTTTGCTGACGATATAATCCAAAGAGGGGGGATGCCCACCTTGATTCTAAGGTTTGAAAACATCTGAACAACAATGAGGATCTCGGGGCCATTTTGTGGGTGTTTCTCTGGAGAACTTGGGGTTTGTGAGGGGTAATTGGGGATGAATGGAGGGGGGGAATTTTCACTAGGCATAGCGGTAAAGAAAGTGTTCAAGGTTATAATAGTAAGTGAGAGGAGGGGTACTCTTCTACACTCCCCAGCCTCTTTGTAGCCTCAGGGACGCGTAATAATCAATCTATGGTGCACGACAGCTAGAATTATTTGTTTGCTGTCACCGTCCAGATTATCCTCTGCGATGGAGAGAGTCCCGGATTTTCCTATCTTCTGGCGGTACTCGTTCATGGTACGAGTATTGAATCGATTCCTAAAGATATTATCGTAGTACCGGCAAGGTACAGTACATTCGAACACCGCTACACCCTCCCGGAACATGTGTTGCGGAAAACCAGTGGGATTTCCTGATTCATTGGGTTCAATTCAGTTGGTAACCTACTTATTCCTGAGCGGGCAAATATGGACACTGCTCACAGTAGCACACTCGAACCATTCTACCTCTGGGGTGGGGGATGGGGAGTTGCTGCTAATCCTACCGAGCAATATGTACAGTAACAAAATGTAGCCAAGTTTAACCTTCCCATCGATAGGGGTGGTGGTGCTCTCCACATTACTGATTTCTTAGGAGATGTGACACAAATTTTTGATATGAAAATGTTTGAATTGTGTGGAATTAACAGTACAGATTGTTACTACATAAGATGAACAACCGATGAAATTCAACAAGTGCTTTATCTCATGCGAGATAAACCGAATTTAAGAAAACTTTTTTTTAAAAAAAACTCTCAAACAGACGAATGCGAGAAAGGAATCCCCTCAAATATCAAACGGACTTGGTAGCCGTGATGGTAAACCTCCGCCCCCTACACTGACATGTGCACTCCACTGCGGTTTCTCCGGCGCTCCACAAGGGTTTGTCTACAGGCTTTTTCCCGCCTGTGGCATTTGGCGGAGAAGCGGTTCGAATAATGGTCCGTGTTGAGGTAATATATTTATTCCCACTAGAACCCAATGGGGCTAGTGTATAGCTTGAGGAGGCTGCCATAGCGGCTTTCGTCATAGTTTGGGTACTAGCAGGTGTAAGGACAGAGGTGAGAGCAGCTGCTAAGATGGATTCCAGAAGAGTGATATCTGTTATAACAGAACTAATCCCAACCATACCGAGTGCAGGGGGGGGTGCGGGTGTTATAGAGGAAACATGAGTAGTAATAGGTGTAGGGATAGCGGTGAGAGTAGCTGCTAAGATGGATTCCAGAAGAGTAATATCTGTTATAACAGAACTAATCCCAGCCATACCGAGTGCAGGGGGGGGTGCGGGTGTTACAGAGGAAACATGAGTAGTAACAGGTGTAGGGAAAGAGGTGAGAGTAGCTGCTAAGATGGATTCCAGAAGAGTGATGTCTGTTATAACGGAACTAACCCCAGCCATGCCGAGTGCAGGAAGAGGTGCGGGTGTTACAGAGGAAACATGAGTAGTAACAGGTGTAGGGAAAGAGGTGAGAGTAGCTGCTAAGATGGATTCCAGAAGAGTGATGTCTGTTATAACGGAACTAACCCCAGCCATGCCGAGTGCAGGAAGAGGTGCGGGCGTTACAGAGGAAACATGAGTAGTAACCGATGGTGAGGTTAGTAGTGTATGAGTATTAAGTGTCTGGCCGGAACCCATCAGTGAAGTTACAGAGGCCTGGGTTTCTGCCAAAACAGATAATAAGAGGGAAATGTCTGTTATAACTGAGCTAATTTGATCCACGCCCATCGGGAGGATCGGGGAATGGGTTGCGACTGGCATTGCCGACGGTTCGTGCATAATCGACGTCAACCCATGTGTGGGGGGCGAAGTGGGGCTTGGTATTGTGGAAGCACCAGTCGGAACATCCGATATTCCGAGCGTCGGCTTTGGGGGAGACAGGCGGGTTGTCGGAGATTGAGAGTGTGAAGGAGTTGACGTGCTTATAGTATTTTTTGAAGTCGGGTTCGAGTTGACGGACGTAGTGCTTAGGCTGATGTGGGCACTTGACTGTAAGGCTCCGGGCGGAGTACCATGGCTTTGAGCCAGTGAAGTTTTGGTAGCTCCGGCGGGACTATTGATATGCAATAACAATGAAGAAACCAGAGTAGCAGTTGCTTTCGGAGTTGTGGAAGTTGGAACCAATGTTGTAGCTGAAAAGGAACTTCTAGGGCTTGATGATGTTATTGCCTCAGTAACATAAACATAAAAAGTTGTAACATCATCCAGCAATGTAGGTGTGTTTTCGCTGGGTGTTGGATGAATTCCACGCTTGGCCCGGATTCGGTATCGGCATGGTGATTCTATAGTTACACCATGAATAATTTTTATAGCCACGCATGGCTTTTCATCGTAGATCGCATTACTGCTTTGGAGGCTGGTCGTAGGAAGGGGGGGTGCGGATATGATGGACGCACAAGTGAGTTCGGGCCCAGGATCGGTTCTATGAGAACAAAAGGGTGAGCCGATAGCCAAGGCAATGCAAAAACCAAGGTGGAAGATGGTATTTCTGAGCATTCTGGATATGTCGGGATGTTGCCTGCTGTGAAGTGTGACTGGTGTGGAAACTTGAACAATTGCCCGCAGAGTCTCCGTGGGGCCATTTTTATACTGGGTGGAGGTTTCATAGTTAATTCTATGTAGATGTTTATTCTATGGAAGCCGGTACTCTATGGTGTAAGTGAACATTTAATGGTTCATAGAAGTCTCTCGGACGCCTATATCTTACTATGGAGAACAATATGGGATTGCTTGAAGGTCCTGATCTTGGTGGTCGGCATAAAGTAAGCCCTATCATCTTGGGCCCTGTCTGGGGTGGGGCAAATGATTTGAGAGCGCGCTTTGGGCGATCTCATCGCCTATGATAGGATGAGCAAACTATTGTTAAAAAACGTGCTGGCTGCTTGGTCCTTGCCAGACGGTCGAGTTGAAGCCGGGAAGCCCAGGGGAAATGCCCATAAGTTACCGGTGCTGTGCTCGAATGCCAGGTTCTAACTCCGCAGCAAGAGTATCAGCGCGTCTCTGCCAAGAATACCGCCGGGTACTGAACCCTAGTGAGAATCTCGAGGTTTGTTCTCACTCTCTCACCAAAATTCGGGATACGGCGGGATTGCTTGTGGAGGCGCGCGAGTACTCTAGATTTCTTGTATCCTGACACCCGCTCGCTTGATAGAGTTGGTAGTAAAAGTTGGGCGGGTGTGGTCAAGACTTAAAGATTATATTCCTAGCTTGAGCTAATTCTTCTGGGCCAAAGGGGAATCCGACCTCTATATATGCCCTTCTAATGTTGCGTGGGAAACCGCCCCGTGCCAGGGAAATATCTCCTCGAGTATAAATTGTACTCGTGATTTACGTTAGTGAGTCATAGTTGCGTTATCACCGGTATGAGTTATGTGAGGATAGGAAATCGTGCATTTTCTTATTACAGTTTCTGAGTTGTGAAGCACTTGGACAGCGAGTAGCAATCGCCATTTCCGGTAGACTAGCTACCATTCGCCTCCCTGCTCCAATCCCTTTGTTCACTTCGGCTTTCTTGCTTAGTAATATGGAATTATTATTATCATACCTTGGCATGAATTGGTCCCAGTCTGTTTGATACCGGCATGTTTCCCGAACCAACGCCCGAGGTCATCCCTTTCATACCGATATTCCCAGGCTCAGACTGCCACTGCTCATCACTAGTCTCCAAACCCCAAAACCCCTCGCCTCGCAGCCATAGCGAACACCACAGCTGCCATGAATCTCATCTTTGCCTCCTTGGCCACAACCTTCCTCGTTGTCCGCGCGCTCTCCCGCAAATCTCTAACCCCAACTGGTGTTCTCTTCGCCATTTTAACAGCGGTTATCCACGCACTACACCCATGGAACCTCCCTTTCGTCTTGCTAATCTCATTCTACGCTCTTGCGACGGCAGCCACTAAGGTTAAACATGAAGTGAAGGCTAAGTTGACTATATCCTCGTCTGGAGCGCCGGGGGGTGAGGGTGCTAGGAATCATATTCAGGTTTGTGCCCCAGACTTTGGGGTTATCGATGGTGGTTAACGGAGGGTTGGGGGGCAGGTCCTAGCGAATAGTATCGTCGCGTCGGTGCTCGTTCTAGCGCATTGTTACCAGTTGCGAGTGATTTCCTTGAACGGCTTCGCGCAGCGGGAGGATGTGTGTTTTCATGGGGATATTTTGGCGATTGGGATTATCGCGCATGTGGCCTGTGCAGGTGTCCCCACTATTGACTAACAGGTTTGCAGGAACTATGCCGCGACATTGGCAGACACGCTATCCTCGGAGCTGGGAATACTTTCCAAAACTCAACCAGTGTTGATATCTACCCTTCACAAGACACCCCCAGGTACCAATGGCGGCGTCACCTTATTCGGAGTTTTGGCAGGGGGGGTCGGTTCCGCTATCATCGGACTTATCTCAGTGATTTTACTGCCGTATTGCCCACTGCCGACAGATGGGTACGGCATCCACCTTCCAAAAGGTCGAGCACACGTTTCCTTTGGCAACAGTGGTAACTACGGCCCAACCTGGGGGATAAAAGAAAAGGTCCTCTTTGTAGCATTTGCCACAATAGTCGGTGTCTCTGGAAGTCTTCTTGACTCTCTCCTCGGAGCGGTATTCCAAAAGAGCGTTGTAGATATTCGTACACAGAAAATTGTTGAAGGGCCTAACGGGACTACAGTAGGGCCCCCTTTCCTAAACCCTACCTTCTAGAAACTAACAAACACAAGGTCCTCGTTCAACCCTCATCAACACACTTCCCAACTCGTGCCCGTATCCACTCGCACCTTCACCAAACACCACAGCCCGCCGCAGCTCCGATCCCCACTTCTGCCGCTTCGAGAAACGCTGTTGCTGCGGAGAAAGATGATGCGCTAGGACACGAGCAGGAGCACAAGCCCAGTCGAGCGGTGATCTCGGGCTCGAGGTGGGGTGTGTTGGATAACAATCAGGTTAACCTGGCCATGGCGGTTTTAACCAGTGCAGGGGCTATGATTGCTTGGAGGATTGCAGGATTAGCGGGGTGTGATAGTATAGTTGCTCGGGGGTTATCGGGTAATGGGCTTAGCACGGTTTGCTGATGGCATACTCCTAGTGAGATTAATAACCCGGACATGCCTAAAACGCTAGTAAAGCTGAGATATCAACGAAGCAAACGAACCTACCGAAAATTTAAGATTATAGATTGGTCTGTGGTGTATGGTGTCAAGGCTTTTTGAGAGGTGGTGGACTCCGCTGTCAAGGTCACTTTTTTGGTTGTTTTTGGTTGCATCGGCCCCAGGTGTGCGGATCCTTAGTCTCATGGATATCTAGTTTTATCTTGTTCCAGAGTGGTATTTGGCGAGGGAGTCGGATCATGGGTTAATATCGACATCATATATTGTCACTCGTAATTCAGAACACTTCATTATCCCCTTAAGGCAACTATCCTCTGCTCGTAAGTTCTGAGCACCTCCCTTGGAGATCTTCACCACGAGTAAATCAGCGAGTCCAACTCGATTATAAACTGACCCATCTCTCCCCTTTTAATACAACCAAAATACCGAAATCACACAACTATGGGTTACCGCACATGCCATACTTGTCTCCCATCGTCAAACGAAGCCCTTCTCGAATGCCGCCCCCAAAACGCCCCCCCATCTCAATAACCTCCCCGATATGCCTATGCATCGAACTCTACCCCCCATCCACAGCTACAATTTCGCGCCTGTCCCTTCTGCGGAATCCCTCCACACCCACCGGTGCTACGCCGAGAGAGCGCACCATGCCCTTCTCTGCCCCACGCTTCCTCCATTATCACCTTACCGTGCAAACTTGCATCAATGTCACTCGAATTGCGATAAAGCCTCTCTGAGAAACACCAAATGCGGAAGCTCTCTTAACGCCCTATTTACCCAATCCCTCATCATTAGCCCGCATCCCTCCCCACTACCCCACCTCACCAGGCAGCTTACCAAAACATCCAACACCAACCACGCCGCCCGGCGCGCCTACACCCCATCACCAATATCCGTTATTGCGTCACCGTGCCCAATGCGATCCACCGCCGGAACATTGCTCATGATGACTTGCGCACACTGTATGGATTAGGGCAGAACATGGCTTTAGTTTGCCAGGGCGGGGGAGCTGAGGTGGGGGGGTTGCCAGGCGGGGTTTGGGAGTGTCAGGGTGAAGGTTGATATCTTGACATTTTTGGAAGGGGAGAGGGGGAGAGGGGGAGAGTCGAGGAGTTGGTAAGCGCATTTCTGAAGTGGAGGTATTGGTACGGATATGTACAGGGTTGTATGATAGATAATGGGGGTGACGTTGTTTGTTTGTTTGTTTTGTTGGTCTGTGGAAGTGGCTGCTTCTTGGTATGGAATGAGGGCGGCTTTGCGCATTTGGGGGGGGTGAAGGCGGTATTTGAGAGAGAACGTTGAGGAGGTGCGGCTACTGCATCATGGGTTTAGATAGTCATATGCCGTTTGGGCACGCGTTTGGGGGGACAATGGCGTGAGAAACAAGCAGTGAGGTGTGACGCCGAGATTGTGCTTCATCTACGGGAAGAGGTAAGATAGGAAGGCCACCAAACAACACAAACTGTAGTCCGATATTTAGCAGTTGCGTGTAAAAGTGGATTCCGAGTTCTGATCTTACCCTCCCCGAGACCATTTGCTCCTCTCCAGAGATCTGACTGTCGGTGACAGTTTGACCACTTATCCCCCATAATTCACTTCTACCTCGCAATGCTAGGGGTGCCGGGCTACGATATCCCTACATCGACTTTAGACTCACGTGGGGGCATTTTCGACTCAAAGGCTTATTCTTGTTGAAACAGTGAGAACGGAATGATGGTTTTTGGAACTGGTTGAGTGACGAGAAGAATAATGAATTGCTTAATTGACTTCTCAGTAGAGAGCAAACTACCCAGACTATCTACTGTTGAGAGCGAGACACAAGTTGCGAGTAAATCAACAGTAGGAAGTAAACAGAAACAGAGAGAAGAAAAGAAAGGCAAGGAGGTATGTTCAATAGTACCAATATTGTAAGGGGGTTTTGAGATGGCGATCAAGACTAATGCAAGGAGAAAATCAATAGTGCGAGTGATACTACGGTAGTGCCAGAAGCATATTTCAACACTCCCCCTCTTCTGCCATACCGTGAGAAGGAAAACAGAAATAAAAATAAACAATAAAGGAAAGTCTTTGAACATCATCGAGCACCGGTAAAACCCCCTATCCATAAGTGTCTCAAGGGGGAAAGGTATACTCTCAGCTCTTCCTTAGAACAGTTAATAACAAAAGGAAAAACATTTCAAACAAACAGGCCTGATATCTAACCCCAAAAAGGTACTTCCTAGACTACAGTCTCCATCCCGATCCTTTCCATATGACGCCAGTGGAGGTCTCTTGCGAGAGGCTTCGTAAGTATGTCCGCGGACATATCGTGTGTTGAGATGTGGCGAAACAAGACTGTTCCCTGCTCGACGATATCGCGGACGTAGTGGTATTTTATGTCTATGTGTTTCGTTCGCTCGTGATGCCGCACGTTCGAGATTTGCGCAAGTCCGCCAGTGCTGTCGGTGTAGATGATAGTCGGAGAGGAGAACGATTCTGAGTCGGTGGGGGAGATTGTATCCATGAGATCTCCGATTAGACGACGAAGCCAAACAGCTTCTCTTCCAGCTTCTGACGCAGCTATGTACTCTGCCTCGGTAGTTGAAAGGGCGACAATTGTTTGCTTCTTAGCCTTCCAGGCTACGACACACTCTGAGAGTAGAAAAACAAATCCACCTGTCGACTTCCGATCACCTAAATCCCCTGCCCAATCCGAGTCCGAGAATCCCTTGAGAGACCTGTCAAGCGGGGTCTCGCTTCTCCTATAGCAGAGCTTTATATCTCTTGTCTGCTTCAAATATCTTAGAACACGCTTGGCCTGCGCAAGGTGTTCCGACCCGGCGGAAGCGGAGAATTTTGAGAGGACCGATATCGTGAACGCTAGATCAGGTCGTGTTCCTAACATTAGGTACATAATACTCCCAACCAAGGATTGATAGAGTTGCTGATCCTCAGGCACAAGTGGTTTGAATTCCAGAGAAGGTCGAACTTCGAGCGGCGTCCAAATGCCGTTACAATCGCTCATGCCGAACCGTCGTAGGACTGATTCTACGAAGTGTCGTTGACCGATACGAATCTTTTCCGGGAGCTGTTCGATATCGATGCCTAGGAATTGGCGTGACAATCCAAGATCTGTCATCTTGTATCGGCTTACAAGAAGTTGCTTCACCGTTGCAATGGCCGAAGGGTTACTTGACGCTAAAAGGATATCGTCTACGTATAGCAGCAGTATGACTTTGTGCGAGGAAGAGATGTAGAGATTAGCATCACCTGAGGATGGGATAAAACCTTGCGACTGAAGGAAGCGATTGATATCGCTAAACCAAAGGCGGGGAGCTTCTTTAAGCCCATATAGGGCCTTCTTTAACCGGCACACTCCGCCAGGAGATGCCCCGGGGTGCAACCACTCTATGCCTTCGGGCAACGCCATAAAGACCAGATCGTTGACTACGGGATTCAGAAAGGCGGTGATGACATCCATTTGATGGATTTTCCAGCCGAGTTGGGCAGCGAGGGCGATTAGGATTCTGAATGTTGTCAGCCGGGCAACTGGAGCGTAAGTCTCACCAAATTCCGTTTGCTCATATCCTTTAATAACGAGACGGGCTTTATAGCGGATAGAACGGTCAGAGTTATGCTTAACTCTGAACACCCATTTGCATCCAATGATCTTTGCCTCACGAATATCATCGTGACTGACAACCTCCCAGGTGTCATTTTCAATAAGAGAGTTGAACTCTTGTTTCATGGCACTCCGCCACGCTGTATGGGAGACAGCATCTGCGTAACTCTCCGGGTCGTCACCCGGACGGAGTTCGCTAACATTCTTGGCTTCAGCAGCAATTGCTTGGACAGGCTGACGGCGTCGAAGAGATCGACGAAGCATTTGATTTGATTCTTGCGCGCGCTTCAGAAGCCTTTCAGGTCCCAGTGACATTGGGCCAGCTTTCTCTGGTTCCTGTACCGTCGGACCAACTTTAATTCTTTTCGGCACCGGTAACGTCGGGCCACTAGAGGAGCTCTCGAGATCGAGTGTTGTTTGGCCGATTTGGAGATTGTCGTGCTCCACTCTGACTTTCTTCTCCCCCTCGACAATCATAGCAGCTCGGCTGCTTTCTTTTCTAACGACCCTCCGATCCCCATTCTCCCCAGTCTCAGGGACGAGAATTTTATTTGGTGGTGGGACCGGGTTGACAGGTACGTCACTGCCCTCACCCCTGGTCATCGGGGTCTTGGCAGCTCCCAGCTTAAGTTCTTCTGCCTTAGCGTCAACGGCAGCCACGCTTCCAATCTCATCATCATCCTCTACCCCATTCACAAGAGGAACAAATTCTTTGAGCACGTCACGACCTGGACCGTGCTTCACATCACCAGGGGTACGAGATTCATCAAAGACAACATCGGATGAACGAACAATTGCACGGAATTCGGGGTCCCATAGCCGCCAAATCTTTGCGGTATCATGCACATAACCGATCATGATGCATTCGCGAGAACGTGGACCGAATTTACCATTCCGTTGCTCCTTCGGAATAAGTCTACTAGCTGAGCAACCGAAGCGACGAAGGTGGCCGAGGTCTGGTTTGATGCCGTGCAGCATTTCGTACGGTGACCGACCCCCAAGTGAAGTCGATGGAGAACGGCTGTGAAGATAGAGTGCCGTCTCAACTGCTTCGGCCCACATTGCATCAGGTAAGTTCGAGTCCAGGAGAATTGCTCTCCCCTTCCCAATTATTGTTCGAATCATTCTTTCCGCTACGCCGTTCTTGTGCTGACAGTAAGGCGGTGCAGGTTCGAAAAGGATTCCACCAACACGCAGGATACCACGGAAGAGGGAGTTGTCATATTCCCCCTTGCCGTTATCGCATCTGAATCGCGAAATCGGCCAGTTCGGAAAAGCTGTTTCGACCCGCGCCTGAAATTCTTGAAAGATTCTCGTAATCTCAATGGATTCCTTCAACCGCAGAAAATAGCCATATGCCCAGCGCGTATAATCATCGATGTAGAGGATGAGATAACGGGATCCGGACCAGGACGGGGTCCCAATCGGGCCACAGAGATCGGAGTGAATGAGCTCAAAGGGTCTTGCAGTTCTGGCGACAGGAAGTCGGACGAAGGTGCGCTGATGCTTTGCTTCGATGCATGTATGGCAGGGTGGAATATCGCCGATGGGGAGACCGGTGATGGAGGAAACAGCTCGAAAATTGAGATGGGCCAGTCGTTGATGCCACAGGGTAATTGGGATACTCACATCAGTGGCAGTGGAGATGTTGGTGGCATTCGCAAGGAGAGCATGAGCCTGTCTAGATAGAAGGAAGAGCGCCGGGGATTTGATGGCACCGGTGACGACCGCTCTTCCAGGACCCGCGAGTTCCCAGACCAAATTTCTAAGCTGACCGAGAGGTATTTGGGAACCTCCGTCAAGTCTTGATATCATGCAGGTATCTTCGGTGAAGGTAATACGACGGTGGGCAGACAGCTGGCCAACTGACAGGAGAGATGACCGAAGATTGGGGGCATAGAGAGCCTGAACGTCTAGGGCCAGTACTTCATGGCTTTGATTGTTCTTGAAGAGGATTCGTACAGTGCCTACGCCTATGGCATTGATCGACGAGTTGTTGCCCATATGGATGGGAATAGTAGCGTTGGGCTTAAAGGCTCGGTATGAAAACAATGCATCGCGATTCCGACAAAGGTGGTGGGTTGCACCTGAATCAATCAACCAGTTCGAGATTTCGGCTTGCCGGGTATCTGATACCGTTAACTCGTTCGATGAAAGAGAAACTACATCGGTCAGAAGGGCTTGAACAGAGACGAGGACTGGGTCAGCAGTAGCTGGCATGGCTGAAGCTTGTGAGCTCCCGGAATTCTTGTCAGCACTGTCATGTCTTTTACTCTTCTGATGTGCATCCATTGCCTGTCTCCCCCTCTGACGAGAATTACAGTCACGTCGCGTATGCCCATGGCGACCGCAATGCCAGCAGGTAACGGACGAGGAACGATCATCCGCATGACCGCCAACGGAGCCATTGGATCTGGACCAGGAGTTACGATAGCCACTGCGACCACGACTGCGACCACGACTGCGGAGGCCGTGACCACTCCTACGGAACCCGGAATTACCGCCGTGGGTCGAACTGACTCTCGAGTACAGAGCAGAACCAGAAGTAGCAGCAACGTTTGAGGTAGAGGCCTCTGGGGCCTTGATCCGGAGGGTGGCCTCATACTGCCGGATAGAGGTAATATAGTCCATGACCGAAAGATTTGCCTGCTGGTGCAATAGCTGAATCGTGGTGTCATAAGGATCCGGCAAAGAGGAGGTCAAACGAGAGATGAACGTAGCGTCGGTAATGGCCTGATCGGTCAAGGCAAGAACATCCTTGAAATCCATCAAGGCGGTGATATAGGCACTAACAGATGAGTAGTCACTGCACTTAATACGATTGAACTCACGGATAAGACCCTCTCTCCCCGCACGAGAGGCGGCAGTATCGAACTCAGTAGCAAGCGCCGTCCACATCGCCGCTGGCGAGCGAGGAATACGCCGAAGGAACGCTTTCGCCTCAGGACCGCACGAGTTATAAATGAAAGTGACTGCAAGGCTTTCACGGCGATTGAAATCGAGGAGGCGAGCATGCTGGTTGGCTGGCGGGGCAACTTCGTGACCAAGGGTGATTTCAAGGGCCCCGGCCCCCTGCAGAAGGTACTGAAGGTCCTGGGACCACTGCGGGTAGGTTAACTGACTCAACCTGGTAGCTTCACCGTACTTACAACGGTAAACAGAATCGTCTTTGGCTGCCGAGAACTTCGAAAGAGACATCGAGAAGGTTGAAGTATAGAAAGATAGGTAGACAGATAGATAGAAGATTTAATATAAAGCGCGAGGAATAAATTGCAGATGGAAGGCTACAATAGGCTCATAACCTGTTGAAACAGTGAGAACGGAATGATGGTTTTTGGAACTGGTTGAGTGACGAGAAGAATAATGAATTGCTTAATTGACTTCTCAGTAGAGAGCAAACTACCCAGACTATCTACTGTTGAGAGCGAGACACAAGTTGCGAGTAAATCAACAGTAGGAAGTAAACAGAAACAGAGAGAAGAAAAGAAAGGCAAGGAGGTATGTTCAATAGTACCAATATTGTAAGGGGGTTTTGAGATGGCGATCAAGACTAATGCAAGGAGAAAATCAATAGTGCGAGTGATACTACGGTAGTGCCAGAAGCATATTTCAACAATTCTTCCCTTATCGCAGTCGAGTGAGAAACTGTGAATTCATTTTGTTGTAATAATCACAATCGCTCATTGAAATATAGAGGTATACAAATGGTGCGCCCTCTCGCCATTCATGAATGATTGGCCTTTGAACCAGCTAGCTTCTCACATCAAGTCTTGACGATATATCGCTCCCCTCTAGTAGTCCGAGCTGTAAGAAACACAACGCTGCATGGCGCAGGAGCCGGAGGAAGTTCAGCCTGCGCAAATTTGTATGATAGTAGGAGTTGCACTTTGACTTGGTATCACAGTTGGCGGCGGTGGCGGGTGTGTGCTAACCCGATGGACACGTATGGGGAAGGGGGCTAACTGTGACTGGCATGATATCATAATTCAATTTTTCGCACCCAAGTGGGGGTGCTTTGGCAGACACCGGAACCCTTCGTACAGTAAGTTCGGGACTTCTATGATATATCATACCACTGGGAAGGGGGGGGGGTTGCCAGCCCTCACCGGGATGGCCGAAAAACCACTCCTCTGCGCTATGCTATGATATGATACCTGTAATGAGTGGCGGAGGTGCTACTTGCGCGGGAGGGCGACAGCCCAAACAGATCAGACTACGACCAACCGAACACTACTTTTGTAAGATGTATGCTTTCTGCCTTGCGGACATCGCTAAATCTTGGTAGCACTTGCTTTCCCCTGCTTTACTTAGTTTCTTTGTTATCTTTTTTCTAGCGCTCCTAGGAATAGATGTTCTTTTTCTTGAATGACACGCGATGATCACTGGTTATTTTACCTAACCTGTCACCCGCAATTCATCATACTATATACGCCGAGGATATACCGGGTTTATTGAAACCACTCAATAGACATCACACTCCGAGATATTCCCATGATAATGTCAAAACCCAATTCATGCAAACAACTCACTCCCGAATAACCTCCACTCTCCTCACCCCCTCCCAATCACACAACCACCTCCCCTCCACCCCCCTCCTCGCCAACCCCCGCACTGGAACGCGCACCTCCTCGTCAGGGACCACATCGATACAATTATCGCCCCAATCCGCATCCTCGCCTTCTTCGGGCGAGACTTGTAGTACGAGGCCTTTAACCGGCTTCGCGCATTTGACTAGGACTTCATCCCTGCCGTCTTTAATTCTGAGGAGGACTTCCGGGTCCTTCGCGAAGGTAACGAACTTCAGTGGGTCTGGCCAGCTAACGCATCGGCCTAGTACTTCTCCAGTCGGAGAGCGAATGGTCGCAGAGACTACAGTTATAGTGGGGTATGGGACTTCAATCGTTACTAGTTCTGTTGTGCAGTTAGGTTTAATGGTGGCGCTGGTCAGTGTGGTGGACAGAGAAATAGGTGCGACCTCGCCGGAGGCAATATCGTGCGCGGCAAAGCTTAGCGCAGCTGTGGTTTCGGTCAGGAAGGAGGAACAAGCCCAGAACGCGATCTTGGATTTTTGTTCAGGGTACCCGCGCAGGATGTTCAAGTTTTCTTTCGTCACTATTCGCTCTAGTGAGATTGAGATTGGTGTGAGAGCACGTTTCATAGCAAAGAAGGCAGGTTTCGGGCGGAGATAGTAATCTGCTATCGCCCATGATATCCCTGGCCAACTATTTCACGTCTTCATTAGTCACTGTACACATTCGGAGGGCGGAGGAAGGAAGGGGCGTACTTGTCGTTCAATTGCCATACCAGCGCTCCGGAGCAATTCTCCTCTCCGGGTCCGCGAAATTCCCGACGCCAGGTATTTACGGCGAAGCCTATTGCTTCGGATTGTAATAGCTGTGCGCAGAAAACGTAGTCTTCCAGTGGGTCCATTCTGAAGCGTAAGTTCTCGCCCATGTACATTACTGCCCGACGTTGTGCCCCTGGACCTTTGTCGTGGGCTAGGAAGGGCAGGGATTGGGATTGACGGGTGGCGGGGTTGGGAAGCATGCGGTTTATAGTGCGCATGTTTGGTGGGGATTCGAATCCGACTGTTGTGTTATGTTAGCTGTTGGTGGGTTAGGGAGGGCGAGAGCAGGGCAGGTACGAGTACATTCTGATACGAACCGCCCCGTAAGGTCTTTGTAGAATTGGTACGGGTGCATGGGACCATGCCAAACTATCACCACATCAGAAACCACACTCACGCGCAAGATTAGGTTAGGTATAAACCCCACCATCCCAAATATGCACATCCCCCACATCCCCCGCATTCGCCCCTTTGCCCCCGAAAGGACTGCTCTCCCAGTACTCCAACCCTACCTCACTAATCCCGACCACCTCCAATGCCTCGGGCAAAACTCTCTCCAAAATCTTCCTATGCTGAAAGTTCCCTCTCATCCACTCCTCAACCGTCTTCTCCTCCTCTTTGTAATCCCACCCCCACAGCCCAGCCAACCACACATCCTCATTATCCCCACAGACAAGGACTAGACTGGGATGGTGCACAATGCGCGTCACCTGTACAATCGTCTCCTCCCTAACCAATTCACAGAACTCGTCGTGCGCTGGGTAATTGCCGCAGGCGAAGAGTAAGTCCTGCCAGACGAGAAGGCCAAGTTCGTCGCAGAGGTTGTAGAAGTGGTCCGTTTCTACGATGCCACCACCCCACACTCGGATCGTATTTTGGTGACCGGACTTGGCGAGGGTTAGCCAGCGGCGGTAGTTGGTGTCTACGCCCTGGGAATTCGGGTGTGTGAAGCGTGGGAGGAAGAAGTCGCCCGGAATCCAGTTTGACCCACCCGAGAAGACGGGGGTGTGGTTTATTGCGAAGGCAAAGGATGTGCCGGGCACGGATTTCAGTGGGTGTTGGAGGAGTTTTAGGTGGCGGAGGCCGAGGTGTTTGGTTATTTTGTGGAGGGATGACTTGGGTCATTATTAGTATTAGGAGGGAATAGCTAGAGAAGAGGAGGTGGAACACCTTGTCACCACTTAATAACTCTACCGTGAATTCATACCTTGGCTGTGCACCATGCGTATGTGGCCACCATAGGTCCGGTTCAATTACTGTAATACTCCCCTCGAACTCCTCGTTCTTGACTTCGAATACCTTCTTTTCCACAACTCCGCCACTCGGTGCTTTGACTTCTATAAGGACGTGGTTCCCCTCCGAGCCCGATATTTTCGCGGAGACTTTGATATCCGCTTTATCCAGTTCGTCATGCACCTTAGGCAATATTTTGAGGTCGTCTATTCTTCCCGCAAATATCTCCAGACGGATGGGTAGATATGGCCCTGTAGATGCCAGGGCAGGGCCCCAATCCCAGCCCCAGTGGTATTGCGCTTTTCTCAGGTACCTGGCCCTAATCAGCACGGGGCCCAAACTTAGAGATATGGGGAGAGGGGAAACACATCCTAGAATGCCCTCCCATGATAGTATTATCCGTAGGCGCCTTCTTGAACCCAACCCTCTGCTCCTCCTCCTTGGCGAACCTACTTGGCGAGCGAAACTTTAGCACCAACTCAACCTCCCCCCCCTTCCTCCCACAAAACTTAGTGACATCCACCTGTCTAGGAATAAACATATCCTTCGAGAAAAACAGATGTTCCCCATTCAGGTAAACATCAACGGCGGTATCTAGCCCCTCAAACACCATCCATACATTATCCCCTTTGCACACCTCTGGCGGGGTGAACGCGGTCTTGTAAGTCCAGTCCGCGTCATTAATCCATAGGCAGTCGGGTTCGTTGGCGCCAATGTAGGGGTCGGGGATCAGGTCGTTTTTCAAGAGGTCCAAGTGCACGACCGTCGGGAATTGGGCGACTGGGGTATAAGTCTGGGCGATGGGGGTTATATTCGAGGATTGCTTGAAGAGCCAGTTCTCGTCGAGGGCTATGGTGCGCAGGCAGGTTTTTGAGGGGTCAGTGGTTTGGGCGACCATTCCGGCTGCGATTATTTGCTTTCCGGGTTCGATTGATTGTTTTGCGCGACGTTCCACCACTTGCAAGTGCGGGTGGTCGCAGCTGAGAGACGAAGAGATTTAGAGAGAGAGAGCGAGTGATGAGGATGCCCACCACCTGTACGTGATGCGGTGGATTCTGTCTGCCTGCCCTCAAAGTTACGCATAGGAATTAAGCGCCATTGTGCGTCCTTGAGTGAAACATTCAGACAGGAGAACCACCATCGGCCATAAATAAGCCGCGCTCGTCCTGGATATCTTAAACAACCTGAGCTCAAAATGGCAAAACCTCTCCTCGCTCTTAAAATGAAGATGGTCGAATCGCAGCTTAAGCACTGCACAGAAAGATCCTGTTGATTATTATGCAACTAGTTCTTTCCGTGCCTTTCATGCCTGTACTGTACCTATACTAATAAGTTACTTTAGTCTGATGGTTACCCCAGCAGTGATGTATATTTCGACAACCCAACTTCTAACAACGGTATCATAGCAAAAATTTATGTATGATACAATATCATACCGTACTCGAGCACGCATCATGGGTAGGGGGCTAAGGCATTGGGGCATGGTTAATTGTAATCGAGAAATACCACTGTATCATGGATTTTCACACCCCCGAACTTTTTGTTTGGTCGATCCTGCATTAATTACCGGTAGTTTGGTTTGGCCGCGACAGGTACTGTACTCGTGCAGTTATTAGATTGCACAGCTCTCGAGTGCAGTAGATACAGGTACGCTACCGCTAGTTTCTATCATGCAATGCTTACCCACTGCCGATTCTGGACATTGAGAGACTACCGGTACCGTAATAAGAGGAAGCGTTCCTGATTTGGTCGTCTACAGTAGCGTAGCGGAGCTCCGGATGAGGTAGGACTACCGGCGTGGGAGGTTTTATGTTTATTCCCTTAGTTGGATGGTGTGTCGACCTAGCATGCACCTTGTGGCTACTATTGCTCTGTGACTTGATTGATAAACTAATGGATAGAGGAAGGGAAGTTGACTTGGAATCCAATCACAGTAAATAGACCAACATAGATGATGTAAAGGGGGTTGAAGCTGAACCTGATTTAGATAGGCACACACCACTATCTAAATGGTTGTTGTTGAGGAGTGGTTGAGCTTGTCTAACTAAGAAGCCCAGCTCCCAGTCTAAATACAGGAATGTGTTCATGCCAAGGCATGCACAAAGACAGGAAACTCCATGGGGTAAAACCTCATGGCTTCTAGACAATACCCTATCAACTCAGTTTCCCCTCCACACCGGTGCTCGACCACTACGGCATGATCTCACGGCGCCGGGATCTGGGTAAAGAAAAAGCTGAAATTTGGCGGTGGGCAGTAGCAGATGCATTCGCAAACGTCGCTCAATTACGGTACAGTACTGTACTGTGCATTGCGGGTAGGAGATTCCCTTTGTTGAGCGCAGCAACACAGCACGGTACTTCGTCATCGAAAAGGGCGAAGGGTGTCGCGACGGTTTAGTATGGATAAAGGGGAATGGTCGGACTTTTCACGCATCGGGGAACAAATACTGGTAGGAGTTTTTGAAAACGATTGAACGCGTGCTCATAAAAGGGGGGTTTCTGCAACTCCAAATACAAAAACAGCATGTGTACTAGAGTACGGTACTATATAGTGCAGGTAGGGTATCATTAGGATCGCTGTTAGTTCCTTCCGCATCTCCTTTGATATCATTAATTTTAAGGGTTAGCCGAGCGAGGCGTTCTCTTGCCGGGCGGACAGCGGTGCTGATGGGAAGGGGATGTGAGAGTTGTTGTAATCGTGAGAAACAAAATGTCGACAATAATCAAAAGAGATTGATCGTTTGTTTTGTTGACCTATGATCAACTCGTCAGGACGGGGGGAGAAGGACGATACTTATACCTTTCCCCGTAGGTGATGGTGGATGAAAGTCCATCGGGTGTGGAAGGCGAGGGCGTGGGTTTGACCCTCAGCGCTCGTCGCGAGATACGCAGCTAAGTCGTAAAATCGCGTGAGCTGAACGAGCGAAGCGAGCGAGGCGATCCTCTAGCCGGGCGGACAGCTGTGCTGATGGGAAGGGGACGTGAGAGTTGTTGTAATCGTGAAACAAAGTGTCGACAATAATCAAAGTAGATTGATCGTTTGTTTCGTTGACCTATCATCAACTCGTCAGGACGGGGGGAGAAGGGTGATACTTATACCTTTCCCCGTAGGTGATGGTGGATGAAAGTCCATCGTGTGTGGAAGACGGGAGTGCCGAGCGAGCGAAGCGAGCGAGGCACTTAACTTGCCGGGCGGACAGCTGTGCTGATGGGAAGAGGACGTGAGAGTTGTTGTAATCGTGAGAAACAAAGTGTCGACAATAATCAAAGTAGATTGATCGTTTGTTTCGTTGACCTATGATCAACTCGTCAGGACGGGGGGAGAAGGGTGATACTTATACCTTTCCCCGAAGATGATGGTGGATGAAAGTCCATCGGGTGTGGAAGACGGGGGCGTGGGTTTGACCCTGAGCGCCCGTCGCGAGAGACGCAGTAAAGTCGTCAAATCGCTAGTGGTGTGATGCGAAAAAATTGCGTCGCCGCTCGTGGGAGGGTGTGAGGCAATTAGTTGTACGTCGGCGACCTCGTATTCCAAGCGAGGTGTGGCACACCGATTTATCGGTGTGCGTGCCGTCATGCATGCATCCTGCAAGTAAGCCGGAACCGGAAGGCTTGCCAAAATAGGTAGTCATCGTTCCGCATATGCGCGTACTAGGATCATCCCTACTAGGGCAACGCGCATGCATGCCTGCATGCGCATATGCACGAGCTCAACCGTGCATAGCCGAGGTGTGTACCGGATTAGTCTAGACAACTTCCAAATCGGGACACTTACCTAAAACGGAAATATTTCCTATTATGGAAAACTTCCTAATTCGGCAAGTGGGTACGACTTTCCTATTACGGAAGTGGCGCGCCAAGAGATTTCAGCCCCATGTACCAGCCACCACGTGACGCCATCACGTGCCCATGAGCCACCGCCACACGCCACCGCCACGCCGCCACAACGCTACAGCTCAGCCACTCACGTGACTGCGCCACAACGCCACAGCGCCACACCGCCTAGCCACACTAGCCGGTTAGGGTTAGGGGTTCGGGTTAGGGTTCGGGTCAGGGTTAGGGTTCGGGTTAGGGTTAGGCTGGGGTCAGGATTTCACTCCGTGGCCGAGCTGTTCTCTTACCAGAGATGGGTAGTAGTGACTGATACATGATGATGTAACGATTGGTGTCGTCTCCATCATACCTAAAGCTGCCGTCCGAACCAACCTAATGATTCGCCTCCAGTGAGGAAAAACGGGCTTATAATTAGGCGGGCTAAACCGTCTTATGGACGTAGTTAACCACCTTAATGGCGGCGGGATCCCTGGGGATGCCATCCGTCAACATCGTATCGATCAAGTCTACTTGCAGATTGGGCGAAGGGATTTCTCCTTACCATTCCACTTTGTACAACGGGTTTCAAAGTCGTTGTCTTCGTAGGCGCGGGGACAGGGACCTTCGGGGCCGGCTTGTCCTTTTTATCGGTCTCTTCCGAGATCCTATAACCGCGAATTATGTCAGCGTTATACTTGTTGTTGATTTCTCCGAGATTCCTAAATTTTCGGAGCGATAACATGATATGGGAGACATCCTCGAGGGGAGTATCAGTCCTGTCGAGGCCATTTTCCATGGCTGTCCATACCTTACGAAGTTCTATGTGTTCCCATACGTCATTATAAACAGATTTCAGGAAGATGGGATTTCCTCCAAGGGCCTCGGGTGTGTCATCGTACCTTTGAGCCCATCTTTTGCTGGATTCTTGTGAAATCCAAGTTTGTAAAAGACGTCTAGGATAGCCTCGCTGAAGGTATATATCTCTCACGTGATATACCTCTTCATGATAGACATTGCTGTTCCAGCAAAGGCGAGCCATCCTACATATTTCTCCCACAAAAGCAGCACGTTTAACGTGTAGTGGGTGAAATGAAATAAATGGGAGACGTTCATAGGAGTTACATGGTTTTCGGTACGGCCTGAACGAAATATATCCTTGTTCGAGGCTGATAGAAAGATCGAGGAAATTGCAAGTTTTTTCCTGTACCGACCATGTTAATTGGAGGCCATCTGCTTTGACACATTCCAATTGTTTGTATGCTGCCTTTTTAGTAGGCGCGCAAACCAAAACGAATACATCATCGATGTATCTTTTGTATAGCGGAAAGCGGTCCGCGAAAGAGTTTTCAAAGTGGGCCATGTATAGGTTGGCAACATCAGGTGCCGAAGGGATACCCATAGCAAGGCCCTCTTTTTGGTAGAAAACTTGGTCTTGGTATTCGAACAGAAGATAATTATCTGACCATCTTGCAAGGTCCATATACATGTTTTTATAATTATCATCGTAACCAACGTCCACTGTTTCACCAATGATTTGGTGAGCACGATCCCGAGGGATGTTTGGGTACATGGCGACAACGTCGCCGGTGCAGAGCCAGTACTTTTCAGTGGAGTCTGTTCGGTAGTCTTCAAGGATTTTGGCAAGTTCTTGCGTAGATTGAAGGATCCACCTACTTTCCTTAATGTACGGTTTGAGGCATTGAGATAAGACTTTACTCGCATTAGCAAGCGGATAGGAATGACAAGGCACAATCGGT